GTGACTTAAGTCAGCGAATGTCTTAAGTTCAGTTGACTTAAGTCAGCGATTGTCTTAAGTTCATTTGAGAATTCCAGTGTGTGCCACGTATGAGCTTTGTAAGTAAAAGTTCCGTTACTTTATACCGGTGTTGGCACAATAACGCATGTGTTGTTAAGGCGGCGGAGTTATTTTTCTCATGTTACAATTAAAATAGTTGCCTGTTTGCAAAAAAACAAATTAACTTATTTTCTTTCTTAAATATTGTAAAGAAAATGTGTATTTTCCTAATTCACCATTTAAAAAAAAATCAGTTCCGTTCAGAGTTAATTAATTGACATATAAAGAAGACAGTACTCTTACAGTCTAGACTGTGTTTTTAAAAGTATCAAAACCGTTGCAATAAATTTATTTTTCTTTGTTTCCTTCTATTTGGCCTTATGGTTGAAATGTTAGCACCTGTTTGGTATTGAACGTTATTACTTTATAGGTATTACATTAATTCACAGTCGACCCTCGAGCACGGTTATCACAGTCACACTAGTTTACATTTACTTAATTCAAAACATCGATTTCACATTAATTGTTAATCCTCAGGGTGGATGAAATAAGGCAGTGATTTAAACTTCAGTTGTCGTGAAATATTGGGCTAAAGAATTGTGTATGAGAGGATGACTTATTAAAGAACAGAGTTAGCTAAAGAAAACTCTTTAGGCTGGATATTAAAATACATTGATAGCTCCACGTATATAATCATTTAATCGAATAACTAATCAATAAAAATTTTGGCAAACATTACAAAATCGAATTTGTAAATTATAGCTTGTTGGAAATATTAGGATAAAATAAATTTTTTATAAATATTTTACATTAAGAAACGCTAGAAATTATTTTAAAATAATGTTTTCGTCGGTATCCTTGTACATCTCTGTATGGATACAGACGCGATGCTGGAAGCTGTGAAATAGACCACCATGCAAGGTTTTGAATAACTTTTACGGTGTTCAAGTATCTTTGTGGCAGGTACACATTAGAGCATCAATAGTCAGGGAGACCCGGGTATCAACGATCAAACCTGACATGTTGATACATAGCCTAAACACAAGTTTAAACTGACTAGTTGATACACAACCCGAACACAATATTTAACCTAAATAATTAAGATGTGTAGATTAGCCACGCAGTTTTTCTGTAGTGGGGGGATGGGGGGGGGGGGGGGGTAACAAGTCGAATTTATAGACCTACTGAACGGGCTTTGGCAAGTACATTAATTATACAGTACTAATATATGTGTGGGTGAGGACATCTACCATATAGTCCTAGGTAAAACCTTAGTAAATTTACCTTAGTAAATTCCAACGAAGCTAGTAATGTGTTGTGGTTGTAAAAGTGAATACTTCTTCCATGTGGCCATATTTAAGCCATATTTTACATAATATGACAGATAATAGAATAATAAATCACAATTCAAGATCAAAACCGTCAAAAATATCCTGGAATCAACTTTACACCACCCTGTTCGATACAATAATGAGTAAATACGAGCAGCGGCCGTGTTTCAAAAACCATAATAAAATAGTTTCCCTTCAAAAATTGTCTATTCGCATGTATGTTGTGTAGATTTTGTGGTTTTAAACGGTAGTTTTGTATTGTTTTAATATATGCCTATATAGTAATTTTTCTTTTTTTTCAATATAGTTGAAATAAATGGCTAATAGACCTTTTCAGACTTATTACTGTCCATACAAGACAACAACGATTGTTGCGAGGTCGAACTTTTGAACTCTTTTTGCAGTAATCCAACCAATATTAGATCGCCCATAAATGACGTCGCGCATCCAGGGTTATGACAGCGTGCACTATTACAGAACAAATATAATGATGAACATATTGTTTTAGATAGAAATTGTGATTTGTGGTGGGAAGAGGTTGAGTACAACTCAGCGATGTGATTTTTGAGAAGTCAAGTTTTTTCGTGTGTTGAAAACTGGGGATTGTTGTGGGGGAAAGACACGCTGCAAAAGAATGACGTCATTCATTGGTGATACATTTAGGCCTAACTAAAGGCTAAATGGTTGGCTTTTACTATCAAAACATCCTTAATTATTTGAATACTACAGTTTTCTGTAACCGCTTCGTTTGCTTTCAGCTTTCATTCGTTTTTTACTTTCTCGTATATACGAAGTATAGAGAAAGTCTTGTAATCGTGCAAAAAAAAAAATCGAGATTTTTACAAATCTCGACGTTTTACACCTCACTGATGCGGAAAAACATAATTTTGCAATCTTGTCCGTATGTCTGTGTGTCTGTCTGTCTCTGTCTGTCTGTCTGTCTGTGTGTCCGTGTGTAAACATGATAACTTGAGTACCGTTACAGCTAGGTTGATGAAATTTCACATATAAGTATTTTATCAAATCGTAGATCCGTATCGACATTTGAACGATTTCCGATAACCGGAAGTGGTACTTTTCCTACTTTGAATTTTTCAAAAGCCTATAACTTGAGTACTATTTCAGATAGATAAATGAAATTTCACATGTTAGTAAAAGATCTAATTCTCTACCTTCTGTTAAATTTTGAGTAATTTTCGTTGACCGGAAGTAGTAATTAACGCTACTTTCGATTTCTCAAAAAACTAATGTAAATTTTAAAAGTACTAATAATATTGCGCACTATTATGCGTTTTTTGATTTGGCGTTCACTTGGTGTGCAATTAATTTGTCTACGAGATTTTATTCTATTTTTAAATCTTTAAGTATTTAAAATGGATTAAAAATCATGTCTATAGCCCGAGTTCCCATCCCCTGTTATTTTATATAAGAATATTCGAGAAAGTTTATGGGAGATCACTCCCTGATTTTTTTATATAGCTCTGTGGTCGATTTCTATCCCCCCCCCCCCCCCCTTACCCACCTTTAATCATTACAAATATACTCAAATTTAAAGCGATATTCATTAATTCTCTCTCGCCCACATTACTAGTTTTGATCGAATTTACGACTAAGGTTTTTACCTAGTCCTACCATCTTGGTGTTGTGAGTACATAGACCACATAAACTGTTAGTACTCAAGTAAATATACGCTAGTAAATGTAAAGTTGTAGATAAAGTTTTAACTATTGGCAAAATAAACTGTTAAATTAATTACACGATCATAATCAATGTTTATTTCAAGGAGAGAAAAAAATCGTAATAAGTCGTAACGATGGTAACGGTCGAATTTTGCCGGAGAAAGTGTAACGTTTTAAAATTGCATGCAGGTGTATAGCAAAGTATCCATCGTGCATATGTTGGTAAAATTGTCCACTCTTTGACGTACAATTACAGATAAAACGTTTGAATGGATTTTCTATTAGTATTTGATTGTTGAAGCATTTACCCCCCCCCCCAGTGATCAAAACTGTTCAGAAAATTAATGCAACATAAACTCTACTCACATGTGTAATTAATATTTATTGTTTGACAACAAAACCAAAGACGAGTTGCAAATAACTGAACAAATCGACCAGTTGATTGAAATAGTCGATGTGTTGGTGTTTCGTGATCGACGATATACAGAAGCAAATTATAAGAATGTCCAGAAAACTAAAGACCGCATCACCGAACCTAGACAACCTTGGATAACCGTCAAGACCGTGCAACCAGCGATCCCAAATGTTCATCCGAGACAAGCCACACCAAACTCTATTGACACAGTAGACGTAATCCCACGCAACAGGATGCTGAGTCTACTACATCCGTGAATGACACACAGGAAAAACAGGAAGAATTTTCAGGGACTATTATTAGAAACATGGAATCTCCACAATTAAAGATTTCCGATGCAAGAGCTGAAATGAGGAAACAAATGCGACAACGGGAAGCAGAAGGGAGACTGATTATGTCTGAATTACAATGGGACAAGCCTATTGAAACAATTGAAACCCGGTGTGAAAGCAGAGACTTAGAAAGTTATAAAAAAGAGGAAAGTGGATCAAAGAAGCTGCTGAAGAGCATGCTGCAGTTACGGGAATCTATGATGCGTTTGTCCTATATGTAAATATTCAGATATCAGTGATTTTCTAGATTTCAGACATGTGACTTAATGGTATGTTCTTTCATGGCGTTTTAAGTCGTTACTCCAATTACATATCAGAGTGGGTGTGTTTAAGGTAATATTTTACAAATGAGATTACTTCCTGGCACATTCTAATGCAACATTAAATCTTAAGCATTTTTTTTTATTGTAGTGATATCGTTAGTTTGTTACCCTAATGCATTATCATATTAGTTGTGTTAAGTTTATTAAGTAAAATCTTAAACCGTGCAAAATGTTGGCGTTCTATTCTTTAATTGCAATTTGTTATGACTGTCTACCTATTACCTTTCAATAAAAAGAAATGTTATTTAAGTTATTATTATGAAATTTAAATTAAACATTGCACGTTATACTGATTCCCTTGCTCACAACAACTCCGAGAGCATGGGAAACCAAGCTACTCACGATCAAATCTAACAAGTTGATACACAACACAAGATCAAACCTGACAAGTTGATACACAACACAAGATCAAACCTGACTGGTTGATACAGACTACACACATGATCAAACCTTGCTAGATATACACAGCCTGAACACAAGAAGAAGGAACCTGCAACTTTCTGGTAAAATCAGCCAGCTTCTACTTGTAGATTGATTGAACTCTGCTAGGAACTCTCTTACGTGTTTGTGTGGTTTTCCCTTGTGAATTAAAAGATCAACTGGCGCGTACATGAAGTTTTGTTGCTAAGCTTATCGTAGCTACAAATTAGATCAACAATGACACATTGCAATAGAATTCTTTTAAAATGATTTGCTATTTTGTTTGTATCACACTTTACACACACATCATGTATTCAGGACTGTGAGCTTAAAGCGGGACCGAACTAGAATAACCTATATGTTAAGATTGCACACCATGTTGATGGTTAAGATTGCACATCTTGATTTCGAAAAGTAAGCACTAGTTCTGATTTAAACGGTACGCGATAATGAACGTTTTTTCTTTACACCATCTTGTCCACTAACATCATTTAAATGGATATTAATGAGAACATATAGACATCTATTTACATTTATAAAACTCGATCGGCCAGATTTTTACTTGGTAATAAAATACATATATTACTTTTACAAACAATATTTAATATTTAACATCGCCAGATTTTTAATAGTTCATATACTATGTGATTCTGACATGTTCCAAACGTTCTAGAATATTCAATCACACCCTCCATCCAATCACAATTAGAATGTGTTTGAAACGATAGGAAACAACCGTAGTTAATCATTTACGCACAGAGAGGTGGATGCTGAGAGTGATGCATGTGCTAAGCTCTGAGCCGGTGGATGTGCTAAGCTGAGAGTCGTTGGATGTGGTGAATATTTGGCCTTGAGAAAGTAACGTATTAAGTTTTGATTCTCACTAAAGTTCTTCTTTTCTCTATTTGTACATAGAATAACTTGGTTCACGCCTGCAAACAGTGATTCTCTCATATGGATATAGTAATTCAGTATTAAGTTTATATACTGCACATGAAATCAACTAGAGCACTTTGCTAGAGTGCAAGAAGGACATAGAGTACAACTTGCCTGTTACAGTAGACCAATCCAGATAGAACAAGACGTTACCAAGTGAGCAGTAGTGCACCCTAAGGAGTCGGGATAATCTCGTTTTAGGCGTAATCTTGCAGATACCCACAGAGCTGGGTTGTCTCAGCGACATCCTATGTCCTCGAGATCTAGTACAGAAGAGAAGACCGTGCACGTTATGTTTACAGTTGTGTTTAGCAATCGTGTATAACATGTAGGCCAACTGTTGCCAATGCAAAAGTTGCTCGTGTGAAGCGTGTACTGATTCCAATGTTGCCAAATATTTTCCCCATTTAGAAACTAGAAACGACAGTGATGTGACGCACATATTATAACTTGTTTATTCTTAGGTGTGCGAAACATTAATAGTAATACATTAAATCCACTAAATTTGTTTTAAAACAGATACATCTTGTTGTGTACGAGAAGCTGAAAAGGGTTCTTCAAAAATGAAACCAGGTAGTCTAAAGTTTAATTTCTACAAATAGTTTTTGAAAATTAATTTCTACTGTTTAACTTGTACTTACTTAATCCTCGTCACTCAATGTGGAGTAAAGGGCATCAACAAATTTTCGCTATTCCACTCTGTCCTGGGCGAGCCACTTTAATTCATGCCAGGTCTTGCCAGTAACCTGCACTTCTTCCATCTCTCTCCTCTATGCTCCCAGTTTATCATTTAACTGCTTAGAATCAAAGTGACCACCTTAGGCTCCTAAGCTTTATTGATCATCCGTATATATATATATATATATATATATATATATATATATATATATATATATATATACATAAAACTTTCGTTATAAAGGATACAAGCTTACCCCACACCAGTGGTTCCCGTACAGAGCAGTATCGCTACCCAAGGGTGGGAGTGCTATGGTTGGTTTTGGGGTTGATAGAATGATGTATGGCATTGCAAGACGTCGTAACTTTTCAAGTAGTAATCATTATGTCTACTACAAAGGCAGTTCAGAAAAGTTTGTTCACGCAATATTGTGCTAAGAACAGCATCAACGACAACAGATTGTCGAATGCGGAAGAAAACCTTAGGCCGCTAAATCATGTATCCTTTCCGCGAATGCGAATCGCCGCCTTTGTATATAAAAATTATAAAAAAATTAACAGTTTAGTGGGTAAGAGTAGAAGGGTAGGCGAGGTGTTAATTGATAAGAAAGCGGAAGGTCAGGTATAAGGATTTATGAAACAACATTTATTCAACAAATTTTCCCTAAGCAATCGATCACTAAAGTGTGTTAGTGGAAGCGATAGTAAAAGTTAAACTAAACGACCGAGATTTGGGCGAAACAGTTACATATATATACGCATTTATTAAACTATGTTTATATATATATATATATATATATATATATATATATATATATATATATATATATATATATATATATATATATATATATATATATACATATATAATTCCCCTTTACCTATTATACAAAACAGGCAAGTGTGGCCCTGGCGAGCACGGATTCCGTGGAGAATCCATACAATGTAGTCTCAGTCCAAATGGATGCCGTATGGGAGATAGCAGTCCTGTGGCTTACATGGCTGTTGGCGGATGTCCAGGTTCTTTCAGTCTACGTTGCATGAAAGTTGTTGGAAATTCATATGCCTGAAAATTACATTCCATGTGATTGTTTGGATAATTGCTGAGTTTTTATAAATATAATTTTTTAAAATGCACATTAAATATTCCACAATATGACAGTAAAATCAAGCACTATTTTCGTTTCAAGGCTTAAATAAACTGACACATTTAACTCGCCTAGCAAGTGAATAAAACTCGTTTCATTGAAAGCAAAAATAAATTAAAGTAACGTTTATTTTGTTCAAGAGTTTTCAAAGTGAATACTGAAGGTTAATGTAGTGCAAAGATTTTTCTCATTTCGACTTTCCCATACGAAACTAGTATCTAGATATATGAGCTAACAGCCATTAGATATATTATAATTAGTACTAGATCTAGTTGTACTTAGTAGCTCTATCTTAACATTTAGTCTACTTCTTTCATTATGCAGACACAGTGTACCACATCCTCCAAGCGAGAATGGGGGGGGGGGGGCAATAAGTATCAATAGCTTAATCCTTATTACTTTGGTTTAAATCCATTCACTGCAATAGGGAATTATATCCAGATGTTTGTTAAAGTTGTATGGGAAAGTAGGCAATATAAAACAGGGACGTACACTAGAGCATGATCTTGGTGTGGTGATAATCTCCAGCAGATTGTAGATGATACTAGCTGTGACTGCTGTAGCTGTGATTGCTGTAGCTGTAACCGCTTTAGATAAGATTGCTATAGCTGTGATTGATATAGCTGTGATTGATGTAGCTGTAGCTGTGATTGCTGCAGCTGTTTAAGTCACCAATCTGGGAGCGTACAGCATACCAAAAAATTTTCCCCATCTAAATTTACACTTATGGGAGTGAGGACAAGCACTTACTGTCATAGTTAGATATTCACAGCATTTCAAGTCATTCAATCAACTTCGTTTTTTTTTCATGCAGATTCGTACTATGTAATGGTCGATCCAGAAAAGAAAATTTTCATTAAGCGGCATCTTACCGTATGCTCTGCTTCATCATCAAATGAAATCGACAATTGCTTGACTAGTCCAATCAATGAAAATTCAGGTGGGGTTTAAAATTTTGATCACACACCTTGTATAAGTAAATTTTACATTTTTTTTTCTTTAACTGCTTTAATCGAGAGAGGATAAAATGTTCTCCTTTATTTTTGTATTCATCTAGAGATATCGCCAAAGTCCGATTTAATTAAAAATGTTCAATGTTATTAAAATAAATATATTTATAAAAACGTGACCTCCCCCCTCCCCCCGCTTCCACCATCTCGCCTCTGTAAGCCTGTTCAACCCAAGAAATTTATTTTTAGATCCTAACTCCAGCACAGTCCCCCCTGTGTCAACCATTTGTGACAACCACGCAAGAGAGGGGTAGTGGGGGGCGGGGGGGGGGGGCTCATAAGAAACAAAAGGTTATGTATTTTGTTGGGGTGAAGGTTGTGCAAGTGCTAACTTCGACATATCACTTATAACGTTTGCATATTTTTAAAAACATACAAGCTGAAATATATAGATTTTACGCCAATAACACACCATATTTAATGCCCTAATACGAGTAAGGCTCCTCTTTCAGAATTAAAAATATAGGGCAGGTGAAAAATAGTTCTTGACCTCGGGATTTTAAGAAATGGTGATTAAATGCCCAAACAACTCCATTGATGTTCTCGAAAACAGATGATCTAAAAATCGTTAGCTATAGACAATTTATAATATTGTTGGAACCTAGACTTTGTAATTTTTTAAAGCTACTTTATTTGAATTTTTGAATTTTATTGTTCGACAAAAATTATGAAAGTTTGTATCGATGCACTTGCTAATTAGTAACAAATTTTCATTGAAAGAATGAATAAAAATAGTTTTCTAATTTATTGGCTTTTTTTCCCAAACTGGGGATCTGTCAATAGTATACTATTGTAGATTTATAATATTATTGGTAATTAAATTTGATACAAAATATATTGTTCCGTTAATGCTACATAATGCATTAAAACGCATTAATATTTTCAATCGCAACAATCTTTTTATCCTTTGGACCCAATGTATTTGCTTAGCACTTCCGCATGTTAAAAAATTAAATCAAACAAATAATATATATGCCAAATAGCTAAAATTTGATAAATAATGACTATAAATTAAGTTGTAAAGTAATCTTTTTATCTTAATGTTTTCTTCGATTAGTTCTGTGTATATGTATATGTATATGCATATATATATATATATATATAGATATATATATAGATATATAGATATATATATATATATATATATATATATATATATATATATATATATATATATATATATATATATATATATATGGTATATAGGGTCTTTATTAATAATATATTTATATTGTTAAAAAACATGTATGATTTAAAGGATATATATATATATATATATATATATATATATATATATATATATATATATAATGGCAATGCCCCTTTTTCCATATACATACAAGGTGGCAAGACAATAACTAGCAGGGCATATACTGTAAGGCACGAAGATAACCTAAGGGTAAGTCTAATAAGAGTTATAGAATTTAGTTTGATGCTTTGTAGAGTTGCTAGTAAAGTGATATACTTACATTACATTAAAGTATAATACGGATGGCTCAATTATTATTTTACAGCATTTTTAGCAAATCTAGTAACTCAATTTCGAACCCCTTTTAACTCTACGATTTCGTAACTTTCCATATACATTTATCTCCGATGACATTGCCAATAAAAGTTTGAACTAAACAAATATAAAATGAAATTCTACTTATTCTACAATAACATTTTAAAATTAATTTTATGATTTTAAAAAAAATAATCAAGCAAATGTCTTGAAAGTTAGTTTTTTGCTCCACCTAGAATTCTAGCTATTTTTTCCCAAGCATATCTGCGTCAGCTACTTTCTGAGCGTACTATTAGACAGCGATAGATTTTTGTTATATTGATGGTGATATTTTACACCCCCCCCCCCCCGCCTCCTCTTCATTTAGAAGCAGACTTAGATCTAGTTTCTACGATTGGTTGTTGGATTTAATAATGAATCGATTATAGGTTGTAGTAGTGAAGTAATTACATTTCCTTGAATATAAGTGGAACAATACCGTACAAATCAAAAGTATGACTTTACTGTTATAGATAACTTTTTTTTGCAAAATATGCTAATGTTTATTCGAAATTTTAAGAATAAAGAAAGATATAACAAATATCAGATTTATAATGGTATTAAAGATTATGAGTACTAAGAAATAATAGGTATATTTTATCTAACTTTTTGTTTTGAAAAAAACAACTTTTTGTAGAGCTATCGAATTTCGAACAAAAATATAAAATCCGGTTACCCCTGGTGTCAGATATGCATTCAACTTTAATTGGACTGTATAAAATAAATACCTTGCATTTGATGTATGCGATGCTACATATGTTTATATTTTACAGCTATCCAATATTTTGCAGCTATACAGTATTTTGCTTCTATGTTTCCAGAAAAGTATGAATATACACCCTAGTATGGATCTGCTCCTGATTGGCAAAACCGGGAATGGCAAAAGTGCGACTGGAAATTCCATTGTAGGAAAACGAAAGTTTGCGAGCGAGTCCAGTACATCTTCTGTGACGAAAGAGTTCGACGCCGATATCACAGAACAGAACGGTCGTCAGATTAAAGTCGTGGATGGTCTGGCATTTTGTGACACAAGGCTGGATAATGAACGGTCAGTTGAGCAGTTGAATGATGAAGCAAAATTGGCTCTGGCAGCCAATCCTGAAGGCTATCATGCTTTTCTTCTCATCCTGAAATATGGCAATAGGTTTACACGTGAAGAACAGGAGTCGGTTGTGTTGTTAAAGAAAATGTTCGGAGATGATTTCGTTCAAAGATTTTGTATTTTAATCTTGACATGCGGAGATGTTTTTCATCAAGATCAGGAGGAAACAGATTCAGTAGGATTGGACTTTTCAGAGTGGTGCCAAAAACAAGATGGCGCCTTTAAGGATTTGCTCGAGGAGTGTTGCAATAGGGTGATTTTGTTTGATAATAAAACCAAAGACAAGAAAAAGAAAAAAGAACAAGCTGACACATTAGTCCAAATGGTTGATGAGTTGAGATTTGGCGATCGACGTTATACGGAAGCTCACTATGAAAAAGCTCAGAAAATCAAAGATAATGTGGCAGCCAAACCAAAGGTGCTCACGACAAACGGCGAGACCACGGTCAAAGAAGAACGTCCAGTTGTTGACCAGCCGCAACTCTCAGATGAGACAGTAGACTTAGTCACACTTGACAAGATGTTGCGCCAAACCAATACTGTCCAGGTCATACTGGCCAAGCTGGAAGAATTATCAAGAGGTTTTCGAGACCCGACTCAAACCTTGGAATCTCAACAAAGACCCGCTTTCTGTCGCAGATGTATTGAAGAAATACAACAGGAAGAAGAAATTAAACAGGTCTTCGATAATATAAAAAAGCTGAAAAATCAAAAAAAGGATTATGAATCTCATATTGAGGACGTAAAACGCGATGAGCAACAGAGGAGGGAAATAGAACGCAATCGTCAGAAGAGGTTTGAAGATCTGGTGCAACAGAGGCGAAACATGGAGTACGGACGTCAAAGGACTCCCAGAGCAATGGAACAGGCAGAACAAGCACAACAAGGAGGGGGAACGTTTGACATCAAAAATATTCTTTCGAAAAGCCTGAAACAGGTACAGGAAGGTTTGAAGCAGGTGGAGAATGCACAGATAAACTTAACTCAGCGAATGTCTTAAGTTCAGGTGACTAAAGTCAGCGACTGTCTTAAGTTTAGTTGAGAATTCCAGTGGTGCCTCAACCTTGTGTCACTTATGAGCTCTGTAAATAAAAGACCGGTGTTGGCACAATAACTCTGGTGGTGTTTAGGTGGCGGAGATATTCTTCTCATATTTTAAATTAAAAATAAAGATACAGCACTGGCTGTTTGCTCAACTACAAATGAAATTATTTTACTTTCTTAAATATCGTACATTTTAAAAAAAAATCAGTTATGTTCAGAGTTAATTAATTGACATAAGCGTATAAAGAAGACATTACTCTTGCAGTCTAGACTGTTTTTTTAAAAGTATCGAAAAAGTTTCAATACATTTCTTTTTCTTTCTTTCCTTCTATTTGGTCTTATGGTTGAAATGTTAGCAACTGTTTGGTGTTGTACTATATTACTATTTAGGTATTACATTAATTCATATTGGACCCTCGAGCACGGTTATCACTGTCACACTAGTTTGCATTTACTTAATTCAAAACTTCTATTTCACATTAATTGTTAATCCTCAGGGTGGATGAAAGAAGGCAGTGATTTAAACTTCAGTTGTCGTGAAATATTGGTCTAAAGAATTGTATATGAAGGGATGACTTATTAAAGAAAAGAGTTAGCTAAAGGAAACTCTTAAGGCTGGAAATTAAAATACATTCATAGCTCCACGTATAGGCCTATAATCATTTAATCGAATAACAAATAAATATAAAATGTTGGCAAACATTACAATTCGGCTTTGTAAATTATAGCTTGTTGGAAAAAATTAAGATGAAATGAATTTTGATAAATATTTTTCATTAAAATACGCTAGAAATTATTTTAAAATAATGTTTTTTTCGGTATCGTTGTACAGCCCTATAAGGAATCAGACACGATGCAAGTTGTGGAATAGACCACCACGCAAGGTTATGAATAACTGTTGTGATGTTTAAGTATCTATGTGGCAGGTACACACTGGAGCCCCAATAGTCAAGTAGACCCGGGTATCAACGTTCAAACCTGACAAGTTGATACATAGCCTAAACACAAGTTCAAAACTGACTAATTGAAACACAACCCGAACACAATATCTAACCTGACAAGTTGATACACAAACTGAAATCAAGATCAAACCTGACTAGTTGATACATAGCCTGAGCACAAGTTCAAAACTGACTAATTGAAACACAACCCGAACACAATATCTAACCTGACAAGTTGATACACAAACTGAAATCAAGATCAAACCTGACAAGTTGATACATAACCTAAACACAAGATCAAAACTGACTAATTGAAACACAACCCGAACACAATATCTAACCTGACAAGTTGATGCACAAACTGAAATCAAGATCAAACCTCACTAGTTGATCCATAAACTTAAGGGGAGTGGGGATTCAGGGCGAAACGTTACAACAATTTTAATGAAACTAAAGACATCACATGATGTAATATGTGAAGGATCTAAGTAAATTGCTACAATAGTTGTGTGAGTAAGTTAGCATGATTTGTAAAACGTGCAGGACTCATGGGAACTTGCAACAATAGTTATATGTAAGTAAAGTCTCCATGAAAAATATGCGTTGGACTCTGAACATTATGCTATGGGATTTCAAAATTCCACCACGCATGCGTGGTAAAAAAAAAATTATTCGGGTATGTTAGGCAAATTAACCATGGCCTACATGACCGCGTATATTATTGCTGTAGTAGTATCTATATATATATCTATATATATAATTCTCTTCTGGGATCAGTTAGAAAACAAGCTGCAAGCGCGCCTTTGCAGTCCCCTCTCTTCCTCTCTATCACTATCACTACCACCCCCACCCCATCCCCACATGATCTGGTGAGCGGTGTTCACTCTGTTTACATTTTACATTCACAGAGACGGGTTTGGTGACGGCTATTAGGGGCAGATAATTAAGTTTGAAACGATTTTAAACTTAGAGGAGGTAACTAAGAGGAGGCTGCTTTCACGTGGGGGGGGGGGGGTAGTGTTTTTAAGCAAATATTTTCAATGGCAGCATTGGTACTGTCGAATTCACAAATTATAAATTACTGGAAAGTAGAAAAAAAACCAACTAAATAGCGGCGTATGATACGCAGCGGGTCGGCTCGTATATATAAATCTTTTCTGGGAGATGCTAAAAACAAGCTGCAAGCGCGCCTTGCACTCCCCTCTCTTCCTCTATATCGCTACCACCCCCTCCCACCCCTTCACATGGTCTGGTGAGCTGTGGTTCACGCTGTTTACATTTTACAATCGTAGAGACGCGTTTGGTGACGGCTATTAGGGGCAGATAATTTAGTTGAAACGATTTTTAACTTAGAGGAGGTAACTAAGAGGTGGCTGCTTTCACGTGGGGGGAGGGGGGTTTAGTGTTTTAAAGCAAATATTTTCAGTGGCAGCATTGGTAATGTCGAATTCACAAATTATGAATTACTAAAAAGTAGAAAACAACACAACTAAACAGCGGCGTATGATACACCGTGGGCCGGCTCGTTGGTTAAATCTTTCAACATAATTTTTTTCTGACAGCTCAACGTCCTGACAACCCCATCAGATGCAAATTATTCCAAAAGTCTAATTTTGCCAAGTGTCGCCTCTATAGGTAGGTTCTAGCTCTAAATGAATTCTACTCAACAAAACAGCCATTTTGCAGCCGATGTGTTACTGGTAGTTTGAGCTGGTAAAAAATCAGCCATGATATAAAATATTATGTATGACTTTGGAGTCGCACCATAATTTGAAAAGCAAGCACCGTGTTGAATCATACTTCTAATGAACTGATATATGTACTTCGTCTCGTTAGACGACGACATTCATTACTTACCATATTTTTAATGAAAGATTTTCAAAGTTGAACCTCCAGGTTTAAGTGTAAATATAACGCTTGAATGTTTACTATTTATTTAGCATTAGGTTGATGTTTAAATATATTATTGAAATATAGAAGTATCTAGCGCCATAAGCCAAACCCACTTGAAACTATTTTAATCTAATGGTTAAATCTAGTGGGTTAATCTAATCCGATCTAGTTAAAATAAAATGAGAGGCACCAGCCACAATCAGAAAGATCTAGATGTTGTGTATCTAGTAATGTGCAGTGGTTGTAAGTAGTAAATACTTCTTTCATTTGGCCATATTTAGGCCATATTTTACATATTATAACAGATACTTGAATACCAAATCACAATCCATGACCAAACCAGTCATAAATATCCTGGAACAAACTTTAAACTACCCTGTTCGAGACAACAATGAGTAAATACGAGCAGCGGCCATGTTTCAAAAACTATAATAGAGTATTTTCCCTTGAAAAATAGTCTATTCGCATGTATGTTGTGTTGATTTTGTGGTTTAATATGGTTGTTTCGTATTGTTTTAATACATACCTGTATAGTGATGTTTCTTTTTTAAATATAGTTTAAATAAATAGCTAATAGACCTTTCCAGACGTATTACTGTCCATACAAGATGACAACTATTGTTCGGAGGTCAAACTTTTGAACACTTTATTTGCAGTAATCCAACCAATATTAGATCGCCCATAAATTACGTCGCTTTTACGGGGTTAAGACAGCGTGCACTATTAAAGAACAAATATAATGATGAATATACTGTTTTAGATAGAAATTGTTATTTGTGGTGGGGAGATGTTGAGTAGAACTCAGCGATGTGATTTTTGAGAAGTCAGGTTTTTTCGTGTGTTGAAAACTGAATATTGTTGTGGGGGAAAGACACGCTGCAAAAGAATGACGTCATTCATTGGTGATACATTTAGGCCTAACTGAAGTTTAAGTGGTTGCCTTTTACTATCAAAATATCCATAATTATTTGAATACTACAGTTTTCTGTAACAGCTTTGTTTGCTTAAAGCTTTCATTCGTTTTTCATATAGCTCTGTGGTCGATTTCCACCACCGCCCCTCCCCACCTTTAATCATTAAAAATATACTCATATTTAAAGCCATATTCATTAATTCACTCTCGCCCACATTACTAGTTTTGGCCGAATTTACGACTAAGGTTTTACCTAGTCCTACCATCTGGGAGTTGTGAGTACATAGACCACATAAACTGTTAGTACTTTTGTAACTATACGCTAGTAAATGTAAAGTTTTAACTATTAGCAAAATAAACTGTTAAATTAATTACACGATCATAATCAATGTATATTTCAAGGAGAGAAAAAAATCGCTATAAGTCGTAACGATGGTAACGGTCGAATTTTGCCGGAGAAAGTGTGACGTTTTAAAATTGCATGCAGGTGTATAGCAAAGTATCCATCGTGCATATGTTGGTAAAATTGTACACTCTTTGACGTATAAATACAGATAAAACGTTTGACTGGATTTTCTATTGGTATTTGATTGTTGAAGCATTTACCCCCCCCCCCCCTAGTGATCAAAACTGTTCAGAAAATTAATGCAACATACACTCTACTCACAGGTGAAATTAATATTTATTGTATTCTAGCCCCAGCCATTTGCTAGCTGAGAACAAAAAAGAAAATTGGATAACGTCAGAGAGTATTCGGTTCAAGCCTAGTTGCAAAATTTACTCGTGTATCGCTATGTTCGATTTATGTAAAATACTAAGTCTTTGTCAGAAACATCTTATAGGGATGAGATATCTCACGATCATTGAGAGTATAATGTAAAATATATGACCTATCTGATATCATAAGGAAAGTTTCTATGATATTAACATGTCTATTAAGCTATTTTCTACACTTAAATGTCCAGCAGATAATATCAGTTCGATATGTAAGACGGACCCTATTGTATTGATAGTAATATCAGTAATAACACCACAGTATGGCTGCGGGGTACAGAGGTAGAGAGCGCTAATATCAACGTTACGTACTTTAGTTCCGGTCTCCCCCATGTAAACACACATCAGGCATAAATACTATCAATTCTAAGTGTGAATAACATGATGGAACTAGTATTATATATTCTATTCGGAAAGTTTTATTATCGAGTGTAGAATATTACGAATACAATCAATATATAAATGCGTATGTTTTGTTAGGTAAACATTGTTCTTCATATACAATAAATTATTTTATATACAATTATTATTATTTTATATATATTATGTTTCTGTTTTTCTCAAAAAAATAATGAACAATAAAGCT